AATTTTGGGATTTTAACCCCAAACCCCATCCCAGGTGCAGGTGGTGCCCCCGGAGCCACGCCTGCCGGGCCGTGCCCATCTCCAGCATTTCCCCAATCCATAATTTTGGGATTTTAACCCCAAACCCCATCCCAGGTGCAGGTGGTGCCCCCCGAGCCGCGCCTGCCGGGCCGTGCCCAGCTGCAGCAGTTGCAGCTGCGCTGCAGCACGGAGGAGGACAAGTTCCTGCTGCTGTTGGCGCTGCTGAAGCTGCGGCTGCTGCGGGGCCGGGCGCTGCTGTTCGCGGGCAGCCTGGCACGTGCCCTGCGCCTGCAGCTCTTCCTCGAGCAGTTCGGCATCGCCGCCTGCGCCCTCAACCCCCAGCTGCCTGCCCGCTCCCGGTAACGGGGCACTGGGGTGGGATTTAGGGGGTGGGGTTTGTGGGAATTCCTGTTTGAGGCTTAAATCCTGGATTTTCGCTTGAGCATCCCACTGGTTTCACAGTTGAAATGGGATTTATGGGGTGGGATTTATGGGAATTCCCATTGTGCCCTCAACCCCCAGCTGCCCGCCCGCTCCCGGTAACGGGGCACTGGGCTGGGATTTAGGGGATGGGGTTTGTGGGAATTCCTGTTTGAGGCTTAAATCCTGGATTTTCACCTGATCCTGTTGATTTCAGAGCGGAAATGGGGTGGGATTTATGGGAATTCCCATTGTGCCCTCAACCCCCAGCTGCCCGCCCGCTCCCGGTAACACCCCTGGGCTGGGATTTAGGGAATGGGGTTTGTGGGAATTCCTGTTTGAGTCCTGAATTCCGGGGTTTTTACCTGGTCCCGTTGATTTCTGAGAGGAGATAATGGGGTGGGATTTATGGGAATTCCTGTTTGAGTCCTCAACCTGCAGCTGCCTGGGAGATCCCAGTGCTGTCCCTGATGTCCCTGCTGTCCCTGTCTCCTCTGTCCCTAGGCGCCTCCAGTGCTGTCCCTGCTGTCCCTGTCCCTGCTGTCCCTGTCCCTGCTGTCCCTGCTGTCCCTGTCCCTGTCCCCAGGTGCCCCAGGTGCTGTCCCTGCTGTCCCTGTCCCTGCTGTCCCTGATGTCCCTGTCCCTGTCCCCAGGTGCTCCAGGTGCTGTCCCTGCTGTCCCTGTCC